CAGATACTTACCACTGTTGTCACACTGGGAGCAATGTATAAGAGCTTCAGCTTTTCCTTTCTTGTTGGACTCCTTACCCTTCAGACAAATTCCACATATAGCATTTGGAATGACCTTTGGCTGGAAGGGTAGAAGAGGACTATAAATTCATTCCAGAAGAATTCACAGATTTAACAGGAAACGTATCTCCTTAACTCTAAAAATTAATGATTTATCTGCTGTGTGAACCTCAGTACATAGGACAGTAACTGACAATGAGTGATGTTTCAATCTTTGATTAACTATGTACAATTTTGCACTTGGCACACCTGTAGTGAGCATGGTGTAAGTTCAGCTGGAGTAGAGCATGTAGCAGTGTCTTCCCCTGAATTCATCAGCTAACAATCCTCTACATGTAAATTACATGATGTAACATTAAAAATTTCAGGGATTTTGTAGTTGTTTTTTTTTTCCACCAAAATAAAATACTTCTTTATGAATGGCCATGTAGATTTTCCACGTGGAATAAATTAAATACAATTTCCCCTTTGCATTGACTCTCTAAATATAGAAATTTAGTTACAAAAGCAATAAACTAGATTTTTGTATTGTTAGTTTTAAAGTATCTGGTTAACTGTATTATATACTGCTACCCTTCCTTATTGTGTTCAGTCATAACCGCAGTAAGAAATACACACCATTGTACCTAATTATAGTTTCATAATATTTCTAAGAGATCATCTGGAGCCTATTTGAGTGCATGAGATGCATTTAGAAGGTAAGAGAGAAATAGGAGCCTGTTAAATTGAGCAACGTTTGTGGATTAATTCTGTGTCCAAAATGAAAAGACAAACCAACAGAGTTCTACTCAATGATGATCAAAAAAGATACAAGGCACTACATTTTTCAGAAACATCTTCACGAGGACCAAGGAACAACCCAAGCATTATGAACTTGAAACACATTTCAGTACATTGTTGAGTTTTGACTACTGCTTAATAATTTCAAACCCAATTTCTCACTAATTTCAATAGTCCTCACTGATTTTAATGACTATTGCCAGAGTTTTGAAAAGAAATGCTGCCGCAAAGGCACAGCAACTAGAGGGAATTCAAGGCATATTCCATTTTCTGTGGAACCAAATGGCTCATCAGTAAGCAAGAACAGTCCCAGTCAAGTACCAACCATTTGTGGGGAGAAGAATGAAGTTTAATTAAAAAAAAAAAAAAAAAAAAAAAGTATATATTTAAAAACAACAAACAAAAAACAGATCTTTTGTAATGCAACTTATAGTTAAGTGCGTCTATTGCCAGTGCCAGTTTTTATGCTAGTACCTATATCTAGTTAAAAAAATAAAAATAATCTGAACTCATATTTAAGTAGTCAGGACACATTGCTTAAGGATTTATGAAGTGTTCCATCTGTTAAAGTAAAAACACAGTTACTGTCTCTGATGTTGACTGGTCTAAACAGTTTTATTTAAAAAAAAAAAAAAAACACCAAAAAACACCATACCAGCTCTTCACTGGTAACTTCCTACAAAAGATGACAGAGGCATTCATACAGACTTTTTTTGCTTATTTATTTTAAAAAAGCATAGTCAACCTGTTTTATACATAAATATAATAAAACAATAAAAGAAGTCTAACATTCACAAAAGTCTCTACAAAGTAATAAATATAATGGAAGCAAAAAACACACATAAAGTCTCTTACTGTTAACTAATCTATGTGTCCTACATGTATACCTTTATATCCTCCTCCTCTCAACAGAAGTGGCACACACTTAAACTTTGTCAGTGTTGTAGCATCTACCCTTCTGTTGTTCGGCCTACATTCTAATTTATATTGTGGTTGTGTTTTTATCTATTTTCTAAGTAAATCAAGCCTTTCTAGAATAGCAAGTGCACTTCTCTAATCAGACTTCTAGTTTGTTACAAATTTGTATCTCACTGCCTTTAATATTCAGCAGCATACTCCCTTGTACTCCATCAAAACTAAAGTGAGCTACTTTCTGGTCACTGTACTTGCATCAGGGTACGTGCATTAACACTCTGCTCTATATATTTCTAAAGTCAGACACTGATACAGGTGCATTAATTAAAACTGCTTCCATCTACACTTACTTCACTAAATTGTGTTTATTAGAAATCGTGCATTTAGGGGGTGGGTAGGATGGGAATCACAGCCTATTAATAATACAGTTCCAACAGTATGGAAGTAATTTTTTTCTTTTTTTTTTTTTTTTTTTTAAAAAAAAAAGAAAAAAAAAAAAAGTAAGTGGTCCGTGACCACTCCAGATGAGATGTCCCAGCACTGTGGCCCATTTTGCAGACTGAAAGCAGTATCGCACTCTCGTATCTTCTTGCTTCTCTTTTCTTGCCAGAGAGAGGTGCTGAGCCCAGTGCCAAGATCTACGCGAAAGCGGTGCAGGAGGTCCTTTCAGAGAGAGCTCGTCTCCAGGCTGGAGGGCTTCCCACAGCAGCAGGTCCCAGCTCAGGGAGAAGACCTTCCCCTGCCATGTGCCCCCGCTCTGTCTCCAAGTCCCCGGCTGGAGGCAAATGCAAGGGCTTGGAAGCAGAGCAGCAAACAGCAGCGCAGCTGCCTGCTAACAAAAGAGTGAGGGCTCAGAGCAGAGGCAGCGTGCTGGCTCCAGCAGCACAGCCTGGGCCTGCTGCAGCATGGAGCACCAAGCTGAGATGTAAGAAGGTGCTGTGGTACCACCCTGTAGGGCAGTGCTGCCCTTATCAAGCACACTGAAGTTGCAGAGGGTTTGCTTTGCTTTTTCCTTCTCTGCAGAGGGGAAAAAAGTTGAAGCCTACAAAGGCCCAAGGCAGTGAGGTGCCATGTAACCCCGTCTCTTTCCGTTACCTCCATGGTGGTCTTCTGCACCTTTCCACTGGAAATGTCATTCACTGAGAGGCTTCCAATTTCCTTTATCTTTTTCCCGACATCTGTTTTTATGGTACCTATGTTTCTGCAGTTTTGCTGCAGACAAAATGAATTCAGTTTTATTCTTGCTTTACAGCAAGAAGACAACGAAAAGCAAGAAGAGTGGAACTGAAGAAGGCTGCTCTGAGAGCTGCTGCTGCACGTGCAGAGGTGAGTCCTTGGTGAGCACAGACATGGCTCTTGCTGTGCTCAGTGCCTCCGTCTGTCAGACATGACAGATACTGCAGAATCTCAGGGCAAGCAGTTTAATAGAAAAACACCCAGCTGTGTGTTTGAGGAAATCAGCCGTCAGTGAGAGCTGCCCAGGGAAGCTTGGGTGCCTTCCTCCGGCTTGAGAAGGGCATGTTGGTAATGGCCGGAGGGTTTTGCTGTGATAAAGAGCCTTGCCATGTCAGGCACTGTGACCTTGGAAACCTTGTTCCCCCAGCAGAGCATGAATCTTACCATAGGCAGCTTCTGTGGGAAGTAACGCCAGTGACCTGAATGGCAGGAACGTGCTGTGCTGCATGGGGCCGTTCTGCAAGTGTACTGATCATATTTGCGTAGGGAGATCTCCCCAGATTGTTCCTGTCCTATCTCTAACTTGCCTTGTTTCTTTCCAGTGCTCCGCAATGAACAGCCTTGTGGAGATGATGCAGAAGCTGCAGCTGAAGGACTGAGAGGACGAGCATCAGCAGGCAGCGATGCAGCGCAGCGTTACAGGGCAGCGTTCCGAGTGCCGCCAACTCGGCACCACGAGTTTGGTTGTAGTCAATAAAAAACAGCCACAATTAGACATCGACAAAGAGCGCATGGCCTGATTTGTCCTGTGGCATTCCATGAGCTGCTGTACTCCAACTGGTCCAGAGTAGAACCTATGCAGCTTCGGAGCACCAAGCCGCCATCCTGGCATGGTTTTTGGAGGCAATGCTCCAAGCTTTGGGCTGTAATACCCCTGACAATGAAAACACAACTTGCATTTTAATGCGACACTGCTGTGCTTTGTACCAAATCAGTGCTCCTTGAGTCTCTGAGGTAGGACAGGGTGAAGGGGAGCGATGTGAAGCTGTGTGCAGGAAATCTGAGGGTGGGAGGGCACTGCCAAACCCAGCTGGTGCATCTCTGTGCAGTTTTGCCTTCCCGGGAGGAACCCAGATATTCCCGGTAGTTTTCTGCTCCTGTACTGCAGTGTGAGCATAAGGTTCTGCTGCCTCCTTCTGGAAGATCCTCTGCAGCTATGGACATCTGATACAGGCACCTGTCCTTTTCGGTTTGTTTTTGTTTTTTAATCAGGACACATTATGCTTGTTGTATTTTCTGCAGGTTACTTACCAAAGTCACCATGAAAGGGTTTTGATTTTCCTGCAGTCAGATTTGCTCTCACGTAACAAGCTTCTGTAAAAGAGTCCATCTGACTTTTGAAATTATTTTGTTGAGGTTCAAGACATTCTAGTCTTAATAGTCTTTATAGCACCACCCTTCCCTCCTGCTTATAAGTTCCTATTTAATTACTGGAAGGCCACATCAGGTTTCCCCAGTGTTGTATTAGGCGCTTGCGCCATCTTCGGGTTGTAATGCGTTAGGCCCTCCCCTTTCCATATATAAGCACGTGTTAGTTTCATTAAAGCGCCATTTTGCTGTTCACCATATTGGTGTCACCTCGGTAATTGGCCAAGCTGCGGTCTCCCAGGGAAAACGAACGGGTGAAGGTTACAACAAATGGTGACCCCGACCGACGTGATCTCTGGGGGTGAGTCAGCTGTCTGTCTGTGGCGCAGGATCCCACTTCGGAGCGGTAAATTCAAATCTGCGGAGTAGTGGAAGCCCGGGGATGGGGAGGAGTGCGCATTACTTCTTGTCAGGCGGGAGGCTCGGGAAAAGGAGCCAGGATCCCCCTAGGATGTTAGGGGAAGCACCCAGTGAAGGCTAGACGTGCGTTTAGCCTGGGGCGATATGGAAGCTGTTATTAAGGTGATTCTTCACGCATGTAAAACCTATTGCGGGAGAAGTGTTCCTTCTAAGAAGGAGGTTGCAGTGGTTCTTTCGCTGCTGGAGAGGGAGGGCTTACTGGCATCTCCCTCTGACTTATACAATCCCACTAATTGGGATGCGTTCACCGCCATGCTCTCTAAGAGGGCAATGACTACCCAAAAGGCGGCAGAGTTCAAGGTGTGGGGATTGATTTTGGGGTGTTTAAGATGGCGAGGGAGGAGAAAATGGCGAGTGATCGAGCTAGGGAGCTGTTAGGGCTGGGGACGGGGGGGTATCTTGTCTCCCCTGCAGGTTTGCTGGAGGGCAAGTTGGGGCCGGTCCCCTCGGCCCCGCCTGAGGCGGAGGCTTCGACACCAAGGCGGGAGGAAGTTGGGCAAGGATCGTGGGACCGCAGGGACGGAGAGGCTCCATCCCCGCCTCCTTATCCAGCTCAGGGTTTATATCCTTTGTTGAAACCCTTCAGGGATGAGGGGGGAGGGGGAGGTGCGGAGGAATATAACATGGCCTGTTGCACACCTGTTAAGAGGGCAGTGGGGGAGGGTGAGCTGGCCAGAGAGGATACGGCGCGGCTGGTGAAATGTGAGAGCGGGGGCGGTGCTTCATTGCTGCCTGACTCTGTTTGTTGCCGCAGCCGCTCCCAAAAGGGGGTGGAATGTTCCACTCCGTCTTGTGAAGGGTGTGGGAGTGGCGTCCCGGTGCGAGCAGCCTCGGGATTCACCCAGGGAGGGCAGGATCCTGCAATGACTGCCTCATGGGCCCCACCTACACTCACTGACTGGGCTAGGGCGAGAGAGGATTTACGAACGGCATATCCGACAACTACGACATTCGCCCTCCCTGTAGTAGTAAAAACAGAGGGTCAAGCTTGGACCCCTCTGGACTCCAAGGCAATTACTTGCCTTGCGGATTTGGTTAAAAGCAAAGGTCTGCGTTCTCCCATGACCATGTCGGCAGTAGAAGCTCTTATGGCTTCTAGCCTCCTGCTGTATGATGTGATCAACCTTATGCGTGTCATCCTTGAACCTGTACAACATACCCTGTGATATGATGAGTGCAATCGGCCACTTCACCATTCCACATGTGCCTTATAGGGGTACCTTTGAATTTTTCTACTGATAGGTTGCTGTTTTTGGGATACGTAGATAATATAACTGTTTGCGAAAAGTACTTTACTTCAGGTGCTAATATTTCAGCTTGCCTGATCCGCATGCTGAATACATCACTTTCGTGGGACCCCCCTGAATTGCTGCTTATGGGATCTCAGAGCGTGGGTAATAATTCAGAGGGATGCATATGTTTTGAACAATTTGCCTTACAAGGATTGCTTTCCCAACGTGGGATCGCGCAGGATCTCCTTAAGAGGGGTTGACCTTTGTTGTGGGACTCTAGCCATAATAGAACCATCCCACACACGCTTGTTGACCCGCTGAACGGTGAGGTGTTCAGGTGGTCTGGCCCGTACTGTGGGTGCGTGGTAAATCATACTCGGCAGTGGTATCATTTGAAAACCGTGAATGGGTGGAAAGGTTTCCCTGTGTAACAATTGTACATCGCCACAGCAGTGGTGCAATATCACCATGAGTGACTGTTGCTGCAACATCATGCAATCTTAGCCGCAGGGAGGGTACGGATACCCCCACAGGAGGCCGCAATATAATGTCACCACCGGAAAACTATTGAAAGGTAAATTTGATGATAATGGTCTGGATAGGAGTAATGAGAGAGTTAGTGTTGTTGGAGGTTCAAAGATGTTACCACCAGGGGTGTTCCTGATATGCGGTGACAGGGTTTGGCAGGGTATCCCGAGAATACCGGTGGGGGGACCATGTTACCTGGGGAAATTAACTATTCTATCACCTCGCAGTTGCCGACAACACCTAAGCGAACTACTCATGGGCGTTGATAGCCTTAGGCATGCTGTGCTCCAGAATAGAGCAGCGATCGACTTCCTACTCCTGGCACAGGGTCATGGATGCAACGACTTTGAAGGGATGTGTTTCAATTTAAGCGATCACAGTGAATCGCTACATAAGAAGTTACAACTGCTAAAAGAACATACAAAAAAGATTGGAATACAGGAAGATCCCTTTGGAAATTGGTTGGAGAATTTGTTTGGTGGGATTGGGCCACGGCTTAAGCAGTTACTTAAAGCATTAGTAATAGGGCTTCTTATATTTCTAGGATTAATGTTGTGCTTGCCATGTATCTTTCGATGTTTGCAAGGTTGTATACAACGAATGACTGAGAAAATCGGAATATTGTACACGCAATTGGAATATTGTATAATGCAGGACAAATTCTAAGATATATGTTGTTTAGGTTTAGCACATCGCGTATTGTAACGGGGCAAGGCTCCTCTTGGCATGGGGAGGGGGAGATGTTGTATTAGGCACTTGCGCCATCTTCGGGTTGTAACGCGTTAGGCCCTCCCCTTTCCATGTATAAGCACGTGTTAGTTTCATTAAAGCACCATTTTGCTGTTCACCATATTGGTGTCACCTCGGTAATTGGCCAAGCTGCGGTCTCCCAGGGAAAATGAATGGGTGAAGGTTACAACACCCCAGAGTATTCTCTTCTCCAGACTGAACAAGCCCAGGTCTCACTGCTGGCTCTGGTGAAGTTTTTCGTCTACCAGGACGCTGAAGTCCTTCTCAGCAGGGCCGCCCTCCATTAGTTCTTCTCCCAGCCTGCACAGATATCTGGGGTTGCCACGACCCAGGTGCAACACCCTACACTTGACCTTGTTGAATCTCATTAGGTTCACGTGCTCCCTCCCAGATGAAGATTTTGAAACAGCTTTGTGAAGAAATGAAAGAACCTTGAGAGCAACAAGAGTTCTCTCAGGCTGGACGTTAGGAAAAACTCCTCCGAAAGAGTGGTTGGACCCTGGACAGACTGCCCAGGGAGGGACTGCAGTCAGATTCCCTGGAGGCGTTCAGGAAATGTTTAGGTGTGCATATGGGAACTGCTAAGTCATGGCCTGAACCTCTGAGTGATCACCTGAGGCGAGCCATTAGTCAGCCAGAGGAGCACAGTGAAGGCAATTCAGCTGTGCTGCTCTCCTGAACGTATTTCAGAGCTGGCTGCCAGTGGGGAAGGAGCTCTTCTGGAGATTGGCCCTGCTGGAGTTTTGTGAGTGAGCCCTGGGTAGGGGGTAAGCCTTCTGTTTGTTCTCTTTTTATTATCATATTCTGCTTCATAAAACTCTCTTGTTTATTTCATAATTATAACATCTTAATAGTCACTGATTACACAGTGTGGCACTGAGGAAGATGAGTGATGTGGAATGCGTTTCTTTAGAATCGTTTCAGAACGGCATTTCACTTAATCGTGAACCAGGCAAGGGGGTGTGGAACAAACAGAAGCAAAACAGTGCAGGGAGGGATGTGGAGGGGGGGAGCTGAGGAATGCAGCCTCGTCTCTCTCCTGCACCAGGCACTTGTGCTCATGTATTGGTTCAGACTGTGACTTGGAAAGTCTGCTACAAGTCACAGTAATGAGCAATTGGGGTGGGTGATGTGACAATAGCTTCTTGGAAACAGTTGTGATATTCCCTCCTATTCTACTTGTAATATCAGGATAATTTACACCTGACCTGGTACAAGGCCTTTCTTGCATTTTCTTCCATCTCTTTCCCTGTGGTCCAACAGCCAGTGATTTTCTGTACAAGAGAAACTTCTCAAAAAACAGGGCAGCTGTTCTCCTGGATGCATACCCTGGGGAGGATTTCAGGTCAGAACGCTGAGGGCAGGCAGCCATTTCTTTGCTTCTCTTTATCCCTTCCCTACAAGTCGCCCAGCTGCAGTGTCTTGCTCCCAGCGCCTCCCAAAAACCCCTTCTATTCCCACCAGGGATCTAAAGGAGAGTGAGTTGGAAGGAAAAAGTCTCCTCTCAGGCCTCATACTTAGCTACACCTTTCACATGCAGCAAAATCGTGGGCTTTGCTCTGCTCTGTGTGTCATTGGAAGAGAGCACCGCATTGGAAAATGAGGATCTCGGGGTGCCAGGGCTCTGAGGAACGTGGCCACCACATCTGTCAGAACCAAGGGATCTTGGGAGAGTCCCCATCGTCCCTCTTCAAAGAGATGGCACCAAGTCGCTTCTATTATGAGAGCGAGAGGAGGTTCTAGTCTATGTTCACGTCTTTATCCACAACAGAATAACTTTCAAAAGCCAGATGGACTCTGCTATAGAAGCAGATGTCAAATGTGGCTTTTCTCCATTGAAAACTGATGCCTGGCAACTTGGAGACTAACGTATATATGTATAGAGATTTTTTTTCCCTTTCAATTTTAATAGTAAACTGAGTCTATACTTTTAATTCATGATGAAATGCTAAAAATGTGTACTCTTGTTTTCTGCCAGTGCTTGGCTGACGGAGTTTTTGGCCGTTCTGTGGCATGGAATGCAACCAGCATGGAAGCATCGTTTGTCGTTGTGGATTCTGAGTAAGATTTCTCACCCTCTGCTCATGATGGGTAAGAGTTCAGATGTCCAACGAGAATGCTTGAGCTCTGCTTCTCCAACATGTGTTTTTGTGTAAGTAAAATTGAACCAGTGACTCATTTCTAGCAGTGGTGACCAGCTCAGATGTGTTGGATGGTATGGTGGACATTGAGGAGCTGCTCACCTGGATCAGCGGTGAGTTTGAGGACGCAGAGCTGGCGGGTGGGTGTCTGCATAGAGTGGGTGTAGCAAGGCAGCTGTCGCCGTTTGGGGGGATGCTCTGGCTGTTTCAGACGTGGCAGGTGCTCTCGCGGATCCCCGGGAGAACCAAGATGGTTCCAGAGTCAGAGAGAAATACCTGAAGGGTGACCTGCTTCAGGACGAGCTGCTGGGGGAAGTAGACAGCCAGGAAAGAGAACAACTCATTGCATGGATCAGTGCCAAGGAGCCACAAAGCCCTGATGTCTCCAGCAGCCCTGCCCCTCCTTGCTTCATCGCCCAGCTCCCCGACTTCCCACAGTACAGCAGGAAGTCAGCGAGGAAGCACGGGCTGCTGCCTGGACCCCCCCGACCCACTGTGGGGGCTGCTGCCATCCCTCGGGCAGCTCTCTGAGCTGCAGGGCCGGCCTTTGCTGCTGCCTGCTGTTGCACCACCAGAACTACCACTGCCGACCCCTCTGGCTGCTCCTGCGCCTCCTTCGCTCCACCCTGCACAGCGCATGGATGTGGTGGGTTTCACAGTTGCTTGTTTTTTAAAGCAATCTCTTATGGGGAACCATACAGAAAAACTCAAGTTTGTTTGAGCCCCTATAATTTCCACGATAGCTCGTTCTGGTGTACAGAAGTTCGTACCACTTCCCAAACATTGGCTGGGGATGTCAGGGACAAAATGGAGGTCAGCACTGGGGGCGTGCTGGGGACGTGCTGAGGACATCCTGGGGTTTGAGGGAGGAAGTGGCGGAGGTGGCCAGTGAAAACGGGAAGAGAGTTGTGTTTTACAAAGGTGGTTTTGTTTAATAAAAATGTTATCACGTGACGAGGTTCTGGCTCCGTGTCAGTTTCTCCTCAACGTGTCAGCAAGAACTCATGCATCCCCTCCTGTGTCCCCTGCTCATGTCTGTCCCCCTGTTCCTCTCTGTGTCCCTACGTATCACCTCCTCGTGTGTCCCTTCCATGCCCCCCTCTATGTCATTTCTGCTGTGTGCTTTCCATGTTGCTTCCCAGTGGTCCCGTGATGGTTTCTGGTATCCCCAAAGCCACCTCAAGCACACCAAAGGGTCCCGGTGTCCCCGTGGCAGAGCTCCTGGCATCCTCGTTGTTGGTTCCAGGATGCCCAAAGCCACCATGACCCCACAAGGGGATTCTGGGCTCCCCGTGGGGGTCCTGGTATCACCAAGGCCATGGTGACCATGTACCCGTCATCTCCTGCGCGCATCACCACGTGTCCCCTTGATGCCACCATGTCCCCTCCTGAAATGGCAGGAGATTGGAGACCCCCAGACCCGGCAGGGAGGTGACAGGGTTCACCCCCAGCCCCCTGCCACAGAACAACGCAGTGTGGTTCTGGAGCAGTCCTGTTGCATCCTGCCACAGAGCAGGGGCTCCTGGAGACACTGAGGGGACACTGAGGTGTCTCGAGGGGCTGCTGGGGGGGCAAGATGGAAGGGGTGGAGCCAGAGCTCTAGGCTGCAGGTCTCCGGGGGATGACTGCAAACCCGGGGACCCCAACCCCTACGGAGTCCCCTCACGTTGCCCCAGGACCTCTCAACCCCTCCAAAATCCCTCAGTGCCAATGGGAACTCCAGCCTCAACAGGACTCCCCATTTCTTCCCAAATATAATAAAGCCCCTGGAAGAAAGACAGGACCCCTGGGAATGCACACACCTCCCAGCCCTTTCTAGGACTCTCCCCATTGAAACAGGAGCCCAGAGAGCCCCACAACCCAACGGGACCCCCAGCCACAATGGGACTCCCCAGTCCTCCCAAGACCAGTAAGATCCCCTCCAACAAATCGTATAGGAGACCCTGGAGTCCCTGGAGTCCCCAGCCCCAATGAGCAACCTCCTAACCCTCCCACCACCAAGACCATCACCCCCCCCTCAAAGTCAGGACCTCTAGGAGCCCCTAACCCCAATGGGATGCCCCCATAATCTCACTCTTTTGGGGCCCCGCATTACTCCTGTGTTCTCCTGCTGTCCCTTGGTGGTTTTGGTGCATCCAGCATCCCCCCATTGTCCCCTCCTTGGTGGTTCTGTGCCTCCATGTCCCCTCGGTCC